AAGAACGAAACAGTGTTAGTATTTACCAGTTAAGAGTGTTGCATAGGTTAATGAGTTACCAGACACTTAGTCTTTTACAAAAGTACACCCTCCCTGGCTCCTCCGTCCAGCTCTCTAAAGTTGGGTCTGGTTAAGGCTCATTTATTTTCTTGCTACTGTTCTCTCTTAACTTTCTTCTCACTTCTTCAGTCATGTCTATTACAGCTCTAACCATCACTTCTTCACCTATTCCATGTCCTCTATTCCTCTGAGGAATTCTGCTTTCACTGACATGCTACATCTATTTCTAGGGAATATATGTAAGTATCTACTGTTGCAAGGGCCTGAACTATGTAGTGGGTATAAGATGATGAATAGCCAAGAAAGCCCGTAATTAAAAGCACTTAAACTTCAGAGTCTCACGTGAACTTAGACTGGCACTACTTTCTGATTTTACATCTAATTCTAAGAGATGGACTGGACCCTGTCCTCTGAGAGTCTGGCAAGGTCAGTGATAAGCAGTCAGAAAATAAAACCAAGCATTATTACCCGTGTGACAAATATCACAGTGTTTTCTCAATATAAATATTTGCTTTCCTCTGCCAGAGTATAAAGCACATACTGCTTACCTCCATATTGGAACTTTTTGATCCTTTAAAGCAACAGTTTAAAGAGAAAACTGAAAGCATGGTACACAGCATGTGGTTTTGTACTGATACATTATAGTAAATCTATCAAATTTATGAGGGTATATCTCAGCCAATGGCTAATGTCACTTGTGCTTTACCATTGTCATCGAAGCCATGGGTGATTTCATGTCCTATGACCATGCCGATGCCCCCAAAGTTCAATGAGTTGGACTGCTGGGCGCTAAAGAAGGGGGGCTGCAGAATGCCAGCCGGGAAGACTATAAGGAGAGAACATGGTTAGAGATGACGTGTGGTGTTACTCTACGACAGCAGGACTGGAGTCAACGTCACGCTTGCTGTGTCCAGCATGTCGGTTTCACTTAGATATACACAATAGCCTGCTGTGACAGAAACAAATGCAGGCCTTTAATTATTGATGACACAAAGGGTTCATACTGGAGGGGCACCATAATCAATGATTTATAACCACAATCCACTGTACACTCTCTTTTAAGATTTTCTACTGTAAAGAGTTTAGAGCACAGGAAAATAACAATCTTCATTCAGGTGGCCCTTTCCCCCTTAGACATATGTAGAAGAAATAGTTACTACATATTTGAAATACTACATATTGAAAGTAGAATATGTTAGAAATAACATTGAAAGTATTTTGTCCATCTACAATGGCATCTTAAATAAACAGTGCCACTCAAATGATGGTGTCCCTTAACCACATAACCTTCCTTTACTTCATCATGGTACCTAGGACGACCTTATATTCTTCTTATTTGTTTATGGCTAGAGTTTTCACTTTTTCTATCTGTCCCATCTGACCCTGGCTTCTCAAATATTAGCCCTTTAAGAGCAGAGATTTGTGAGTCTGTATAAACATTTGCTTGGTTTTTGTTCCATTTATTTTTGCATTTATTAGCTTCAATACCTAAAACTAGAACCACCGGAAACATCATCTGCTCGGTGTGAATAAACGAAGTTTTCACATGTCCACTCTGACGTCTGCAGTAACCTGCTAACCGTCTCCATTTAGGGGGGCTCACAGACACTTTACATTTAGTGAGCCAAACCAGTGAGCAAACTGGTTTGCCCTCTAAGCCATCACTCTTGATTCTATTATTTCTGCTAATGGCACTCAGGATCTCAATCGCCCATGAATGTTTCTATTTATCTTAGCTGCCCTCTTTCTTTTACAAAGCCTTTTCCACTCTGCTTAGGGAAAGACCAGGCAATGCACCTTCTTACCAGCAGCACCTCCTGTGTTTATCCCTCCTCTCAGCATTACCGGCCCTATCCTGCCCCATCCTCTCCTTCTTTGTCTTAAGAATTGATTTCCTAATGTGCCTCCAAACTTCCTGTCTCACCCAACTATCTAGAATCTATCTTTAATCTAACCTAGCATCTGAATCTATCCTGCAACCAGCGCATCTCTGGTCGTTATTCCTCTCCTGCTGAAAGTCTCGGGGAAGTTTCTAATTGGTCTCTGCCTAAACACGACACCTTCCTGGCCTTCGGCTCAGTGTCCTCCCTTCTTCCCCACCTCCCTCAGGGCCTGCCCTGTTACCCTCTTACAATACATACTCTGGTCAAGCCATACTTTCTCTTCTCTCAGAGTACGTGTCATCTGTTTAATATAATTTTAGGTCATATTGTTTAGAGGTAGTTCATCTTTGACCTAAGAATTAAAATTAACGCTCATACTTTAGTAATTTTATCTTTCATGTTTTAAAACTTTAGTATCCACCGAGGATCTGAAGCATTATGTTCTGAAACAAACAAAATCTTTAGCATTGACACCTGTTCATGTGCAAAGCCGTGGGCCTTGACACTGAGACATTTGAGATCTAGTTGAATCAAATGTTGTTTCTTTGTCTTTCGGGGGGCTGAATGTGTCATGACCTTACATGAGTTTCAGGGACACATAACGGATATTTACAGAAAAGACTTTAAAAATACCCTGAGCAATTTCATTGCTTTCCAGACACTTAAAAAAATTGGAAAGTTGCCTTAACAGTCCAATGACAAAGTAATAAAAAAATACTTTTGTTCTTGAAAAATCTGATGAAAGTTAGACCTCACGTGTAGCTGCCTGAGCTAAACAGTGCCAAGAAATTATTTTTAGCTTAAAGTATAAAAATTGTGCACAGTGCTTTATTAACTTAACGTGAATGCTATCTCCCACACTATGTACTTGGATTAAAATTTACCCATTATATAAAATGCTCTTATGAAATGTGCTATCAAGACTAAACATTAACTATAAAGATCTTGCTGCTTTAATTATACCCTGATATGCCATTCTTCAGACGAATGATAAGATTTTTATGGCTCACAGGAAATACTAGTCTTCAAGTTCTGTTTTGCTAATTATGGTCCCCCCCCCCCCCCGTTTACTTCGTCAGCTAATCTTGCTAAGGAGGATTTTCTCTGTGAGCCCTATTGCTGCCACTTGTAGACTTCACAACTATTGTTTATAACCAACTGCTTGGTTCTACACTTTTTGCCTTCATGGCTGTCCACAAGTTAGTTAATTAACTCAGTCATTGGTCCATGAAACAAAAGATTATTTCTCCTCTTCCTCCTTCTCTCCCCGCCCCTCCCGCACCCCCGGCCACTTCACCACAGCAACTCTCCTAATTTACTCCTTTCTGGCTGTGGGCAATTTGATTTTCAAATATTTCAGACAAAGCTCACGTTTGCAATCCGGTAAAATTTTTTGGGTGGAAAATAATTAAACATTCTTTTTACAATTAAATGGAGTAGCAACATGTTTGGAAACATTTGCTCAGTTTTCAAGTCTGAAAATAGTACTCCTAGGAATGAAAAGACACTTCAGAAAATTTAATTATCTCAAGGTATTCATAGACCACACAGACTGAATATCCTAAAGAGCTTATACATTCCTGAAATTTAAAAATATTCATTTAAAAGATTCCTACGGAAATTTTAACGAAAAAAGGAGAATACAGCAGTAGCAAGACTAACCATCTGACTTGATCGTTTCTTAGGACAGGACTTTAAGGTTTAATAAGACGACTGAATGTTGCCTAGAACTTGCAAAGAAACATTTGGGAAACATTTTTATTGGTATGGCATGGGAGGCGTCTAGTGCTGCATGAAGCAGCTGTGTAAGGTAGAGGAGTGAATTATATACTTTCGCTATGCCTTTTTTCTTGGAAACTGACTTTTTTTGTTGCTGTGAAGTGGTGAGGGGTGCAATAAATTTGAATGTAGCCTATATGTGTGAGTTCTGATAAAACATGGTGGGGGCTGAGTTAAAAAGTAGAAATTATTGATATAAGTAACTCCCTATATGATAATATCATAAAATAAGTTTTTCCTTTTTTGAGATAGAGTCTCACTTTGTCATCCTCAGGAGAGTGCTATGGAGTCATAGCTCACAGCAACCTCAAACTCTTGGGTTCAAGTGATCCTCTTGTCTCAGTCGCCTGAGTAGCTGGACTACAGGCGCCCACCATAACGCCAGCTATTTTTAAAGATGGGGGTCTCACTCTTGTTTATGATAGTCTTGAACACCTGACTTCAAGCAATTCACCCATCTTGGCCTCCGAGAAAGCTAGAATTACAGGTGTGAGCGCTGCACCTGGCCAAATAAGTTATTTTTTTATCATAGAAACATAAAATGACCAATCCAAGGAAAAATTACATGCAATCTATTTTGAGGTATTTGTATGTCTATGGGAGGAATGTCATTTATGTGGTATGCGTTATTCTGTGCCAACTCTACTGCTATAATGCGCATCATACCAAATCTATTGCAACAGTGTTGTGGAAAATATACAGAAGATAACTCCGCATAGATACAGATGCATGCGTATGTGTACTTGTACATATGTACACACATTGTTATTAAGAAGAAAGATGAAGATCTGAATCTTCAATTATTTTTAGTTCATATAATCCCCCACCCGCCCAGTTTGAAGGTCTAAATGAATTGTCAAAGTGAAAAAGTGCATATTTCAAAGATTTCCTTTCTTACATGACACTTCCCCCTTCTTGAACTGCTGTTTTTAGCAGGCAAGCATATCACAAGAGCTTAAAAAGTTTTCATATTTTATATTTGCATCAGATGCATTTATCTTAAGAATTGTTAAAAAGGGCTTTCTTGGGTGGTGCCTATAGCTCAAAAGGGTAGAGCACTGGTCCCATATGCCAGAGGTGGTGGGTTCAAACCCAGCCCTGGCCAAAAAAAAGGGGGCGGGTGGCTTTCTTACTTTTTTTTTATTGTTGGGGATCCACTGAGGGTATAAGAAAACAGGTTACACTGATTGATTTATTAGGTAAAATTACATTTTAAAAATGGGGCCTTGGCATGGTGGTAATCCCAGAACTTCGGGAGGCTGAGCCAGGAGGATAGCTTAAGCCCAGGAGTTTGAAGCCAGCCTGGGCAATACAGAGAGACTTCATCTCTATAAAAAGTTTAAAAATTAGCCAGGCATAGTGGTGTATGCTTGTGGTCCTAGCTACTCAGGAGGCTGAGCCAGGCAGATCGCTTGAGCCAGAGTTCAAGGCTGAAGTGAGCTGTGATCTTGCCACTGTACTCTAGGCTGGGAGACAGAGGTAGACTCTGTCTCTAAAAAAAGGCTTCTTAAAGTCAACTCTCGATTATTCAGACGATAATTATCTATTTTGTGAAATGCTGGGCCACTTTCATCTTCTTTTTCCTATTGCTATCTGCTTGTTTGATTCCTGGCCATCGAGCACAAAATGAGAACATTTCCAGCTCTTTTCTGATTAGAAATCTGTGAAGTAGACCAATTGTGAGCTACTGCCATAGACTTGGCTAATTTAGAGTCAAAACAGGTCCCATCTTGACACAGGCTGTCTGGGCCTACCCTAGAGAAGGGTTGAAGTGCTGAACTTGCCAAACGCATCCTACTGAAGATGTAGCAGCCCCAGGTCTGACAGGATCCAGGGTCCTTCCTGAGCTGGAGTGAAAGTTGAAGCTACAGTCCTTGGTCTGCCCTAATGCATAGCTAAGGTTCTGGTTGGCCTCACGGTGTCCTAAGACCACATTGAAAATTAACTATTCTGTTAGAGTCTACTGATTATTAAAAAGAGGTTTTCGAAGTGATGAACATCCAGAAAGACATTTCTAAGTAAACCTGTAAATGGTTTTAGGAATATATTACAAAGGATTGACTACATGGGTTCCAAGGAGTTGATCATTAATCAGGCTCTGGTCTGAGTTTAGGCAATCATTTCTATAGTGAGAAAACAAATTAGCTTAGACTTTGAGCTAATTGATTTTAACCTGGGTACACACGTCTCACTTATTATCTGTATGATATGTAAAGACAATCTTTCTTGATTACATCATGTAATGTATTTCCATGTCATGTACCAAATTCCAGATGGATTAAAATTTTACTCCAAAACATAGAAACCATAAAAATATTGGAAGATGTATGTAACTTCTTCACCTGCCTTTTTTTTTTTTTTGACTGAAGGCTTGAAAGCAATGGAGAAAGGTATAACATAACTTTAATATAAAAGGGTATAATTTCTTTTCAGATTTGTTTATTGATCAATGATAAATAGTTTGAAGGATTTTTTTATAATTTCTAATTGGTAATAAAGTTCAAGGTACAACAGACTCTGAGATATAAGAAGAGTAGCTTAGAATAATGCTGAGGTTATTTTCTTTTTTTCTTGTTTTTTAAGAGACAGGGTCTTACTCTGTCACCTAGGCACCCAGCAAGGAAGTAGCAAAATCATAGTTCACTGCAGCATCAAACTCTTGGGCTCAAGTGGTCTTCCTGTCTCAGCCTCCCATAGTTAGGCCTAAGGCATGCATCACTATGTCTGGCTTTTTTTTTTTTTTTTTTAATCTTTGTGTAGAAGGAAAATTCTTGGTATATTTCCCAGGCTAGTCTCTAACTCTTGGCCTCACATGTTTCCTTCTGCCTCAGCCTCCCAAAGTGCTGAGACTACAGGTGTGACTGAGCCCATCTATCTTCTCTTTTGATCCGGGATCACACTTAGAAATGAAGGAAGGACTGTTTGTACATAGAGAGCTAAGTGCATCTGAAGGTCTACTATTTATTTACACTTCTGGCAGTATGGAGTCAGTTGGGTACCTTTCTAATGCTAGAAACCCTCTAAAAAATTGGGTCCGTTTATGTGATAAGAGAGGTAGAGTCCAAAGATGTCCAGGCCTTCCCAGGAAGAGAAAATTATGTATCTCAGTCATATTAAGTTATTCACTTATTCATTACATATGATAATTCATTCATGTATTAATTTTATGTTTATGTCTGTGTCTGTGATATTAGTGTTGGTGGACATATCTATTCTTTTATTCATAAATGGTTAGGTAAAGTTAATTTCATATGGTTCACCCTAATACAATAGAGTTTTCAACATTATAAACTCCTTGGAGTCTTCCAGAATAAAGATGACAGAGAGAACCAGCAGACAGAATTGCCAGGAGAATTGGATCTGTGAAAAACAGACTTTTGGAATCTTAAGCCACTTTATTATTCTGATGCTTAGTAAGGATTAAAGTCTATATAATGTTACACAGACATATTGAAGGGACTTTTAAAAAGTACTTACGAATAAGATACAAGTACTTAAAAATAAGAAAAACCATTTCAGTGAGAACTAGGATTATGATAAGAGAAATCAAACTACCTAGTGGGGTTTGCAACGATTTAAATTTTGAAAGCACTACGACTCAGAACTGGAACAAGACAAGGGCACCACTGTCACCACTTCTACTCAACACAATGTTGGAAGTCTAAGCTAGAGCAACCAGGCAACAGAAAGATATCAACTGTATCCAAATTGAAAAGAGGAGGCCAAACTATTGTTGTTTTTACTGATGATATTATCTTATATCTAGATATATGCCAATGAGTCCTGGAATTGATAAATAAATCCAGCAAAATCTCAGGTTACAAAATCAACATACCCAAATCAGTAGCATTTCTATATACTAAAACTAGTCAAGCTGAGAGTCAAATCAGAGACTCTCATAATAGCTACAAAGAAAATAAAATACCCAGGAACATATTTAACCAAGGAGATGAAAGATCTCTACCAGAAGAACTACAAAACACTAAGGAAAGAATTGGCAGAGGACACAAACATATACCAAAGCATAGCTTGTTCATGGATCAGTAAAATTAACATTGTTAAAATGTCCATACTATGCAAAATGATTTATTCAGTGTAACCCCCATCAAAATACCAATCTCATATTCCACACATCTAGAAAAAATAATTCTATATTTCGTTTGGTGTCAGAAAAAAATCCTGAATAGCCAAAGCTATCTTAAGCAAAAAGAACAAATCTGAAGGCATCACACTACCAGACTTCAAACTATCTTACAAGGCTACAATAACAAAAAACAGCAATGTTTTGGCACAAAAATCGAGACATAGACCAATGAAACAGAACTGAGTACCCAGATATAAAACCATCTACATACAGCCAAGTGATCTTTAACAAACCACACAACAATATATATTAGGGAAAATAACCCCTATTCAATAAATGGTGCTTGGAAAACTGGGTAGCCATGTGCAGAAGAATGAAACAGGATCTCTGTCGCTCACCTCTTGCAAAAATTAATCCAAGACGGATAATGGACTTAAATGTAAGGCATGAAACCAGAAGAAAATGTACAAAAGACTCTTCTATATACTGGCCTCAGCAAAGGTCCCAATGGCAATGACAGCAACAACAAACATAAACATCAATAAATGGGGCTTGGTTAAATTAAAAAGCTTCTACACAGGGGCAAGGAAATAATCAACAGAACAAACAGACAACCTACAGAAAGGGAGAAAATATTTGCAAGGTACACATCGGCTAGAGGGCCAATAACCAGAATCTACAAAGAACTCAAGCAAATCAGCAAGAAAAAAAAACAAACAATCCCATTAAAAAGTGGGCAAAATACACAAACCGAAGTTTTTCTAAAAATACAAATGGTAAATAAATGTATGAAAAAATGCTCAATATCACTATTTATTAGAGCAAAAGAAAATAAAGCCACAATAAGATATCTCTTTACCCCTATTAGAATGGCTTTTATTAATAAGGTCCCAAAACAGTAGATTCCAGCGTGGATGCAGAGAGAAAGGAAAACTTGTACACTGTTGATGGTACTGTAAACTAGTACAATCTCTATGGAAAACAGTATGGAAAGGCCTCCAAGAACTAAAAGTAGACCTATCATTTGATCCAGCCATCCCACTACTGGGTATTTTCTCAAAGGAAAAGAAGTCATTTTACCAAAAAGACTCCTGCACTCACAGGTTTATTGTAGCACAATTCACAATTACAACGGGGTGGAACCAACCCAAGTACCCATCAATCCATGAGTGGATGAACAAAATGTGTTATATGTATACCATGGGATACTACCCAGCCATAAAAAATAATGGATTAATGTCTTCTGCAACAATTTGGATGGATCTGGAAACCATTATCCTAAGTGAAGTATCAAAAAAATGGAAAAAAAAAAGCACCACGTGTACTTGCCATTAAATCAGAACTAGATGAGCCTTTTAGGAACTAGGCTATCTCAGGTAGTTAAACTGAATAATGTGCCTCTGATGATTGCCATTTAAACTCACTGGAAAGCAAGCAGTGGGGAGGGGAGAAGGGGACGGGTGGAAAAAACCCTACCTAACGGGCGTTGGGGACATTTGTAGCCCTGTCTCAAGCATTGTGAAAGCGATCCATGTAATGGAAATTATTTGTATTGCCTTAATATTTTGAAATAAAAAACCCAAGTAAACAATAACAAAAAAAATTAAATTCCCCTATTATAATTAAAAGAGGTACATGCAGGAACTTAACTTTCAAAAAGAATATTCAATAAATTAACAACTCAGCCTCAGTAGTGCTTGTCTGAAAGTATTGCTACATTGGTGATACAATGTACTATTGGTTAGGTACCATTGGATAGAGAAATATTAAAGAATGATTCAGAAATACGTCTTACCTATCTGATTTCTGCCTGAAGAATAAAATGCATTGACTACAGCTGCTCCACTGATCCACCTATGAAAAACAGAAGAACTCATTACAAATGCATTATCTGCTTCAATCTGCTCACTACAATAAAAGCATTATTACTATTCCTAGATGACTCTTAACTTTCCCTTTGAAATATGATCAAGGAATTAAAATTAGCTCACTAGGTGAGAGCTCATTTGAAAGTGTTTCTATTTCTCGAAAACACCAGCATATAGTACATTCAGGTCTGCAATCTGTTATTTTATTTGCATGAATTTTTATAAAAGCATCTGATGGTGCAAACCCTATTAAAATGTATCTTTTCAGAAATTGCCATGAGTTAAGATTAGATTGAAATGTATTTAGTTTTATGTTCCTGATACCAGGTAACTATGACAACAATTCTGTTATCAGTTGACAGAACACTGAAGTACAGGTCTTTAAAACTTTAGATTCAAGTATATTTAAAACATGAGCCTTTTAGGGAACTAAACTATCTCAGGTACTTAAATTGGAGTAATATGCCTCTGATTATTGCCATTTAAATCTATTTTTTAAAAAAATCCAATATTCTGTGCTGCTCCAGCAGCTCAAGATGCAGAAAGGCAAGAAGGCCAAGGAAGGAGGAGGCCCCGGCCCTGCCATCACGAAGAAGCGGGAGGCCAAGCAGGTGGTGGACCCCGTTTGAGAAAAGGCAGAACTTTACAGGACGTCCACGACAAAAGGGACCTCTTCTGCTTTATCAAATGGCCTTGCTATATCCAGTTGAGGCTACAAAAAAAGCTATCCTCTTCCAGCAGCTGAAAGTGCCTCCTGCGATTAACCAGTTCACTAAGGCCTCGGACCACCGAACAGGTACTCAGCTGCTTACGCTGTCCCACAAGTACAGACAGAGGCAGAGCAAGAGAAGAAGCAGTGACTGTTGGCCTGGGCTGAGAAGAAAGTTTCTGCCACAGGGGCTGTCCCCATGAAGAGGCCACCTGTCTTCCGAGCAGGGGTGGTAGCACTGTCACATCTTGGTGGAGGAGGAGAAGGCTCAGCTGGTGCTGACTGCCCCTGGTGGAACCCATGGAGCTGACGGTCTTCCCGACTGCCGTGTGTCAGAAAATGGGGGTCCCTTCCTGCATTGTCAAGGGGGAGGCCAGGCTGGGGCATCTGGTCCACAGGAAGACCTACACCACTGTCACTTTCATGTCTGTTAACTCAAGAGACAGAGGAGCTCTGGCTAGGCTGGCGGAAGCCTTCAGGACCAATTACCACAACAGATACGAGGACGAGATCGATTGTCTCCAGGGACACAACGTCCTGGGTCCAAAACCTGTGGCCTCACACTGCCAAGCTGGAAAAGGCGAAGGCTAAAGAACTTGACACTAAACCGGACTAAACATACACTTCAGTTTTCTGTACATAAAATAATAAAAATTATCCTTTGAAAAAACCCAACATTCCTAATGCAGTAAAGGTATTATTTTTGTATGACTTTAAAATGAAACTCAGGTAGCTCTTAAGTAGAGCTGTTTGTTGGTCTGTGTATCCCATGTCTAGAAATTTTATAAAATATAGTTGCTGACTTCAGGAGACTCTAGTTCAGGCGTCCTCAAACTATGGCCCACGGGCCACATGCAGCTTGCCTAGGAAATTTATCCGGCCCGCCGGGTGTTTTTGCCGCCACTGCCTGTCCTGCTTAGCAGCTGACTATCCCGGGGCCCACAGTCCGGCCCTCCAATGGTCTGAGGGACAGTGAACTGGCCCCCTGTTTAAAAAGTTTGAGGACCCCTGCAGTTGAAGAGATGAGGAAGACAGATAAGCAATTATAATACAAGACCTGGACGAGAGTTAGAGGGTTGATCAGAAGTGGTGAAGACGGCCTATCAATTGCCATTTGTTAACAACGTCTGTGCAACAGGAATAGGATTCTTATCTCAAAAGACTTACATAAAGCACTATACACTCACTAAAAAATGGACACTGCTTGACTTCAGATAACCTTTTAAAAGTCAGTACACATGCATACACTTAAGATAATTATATATTATCTAATGGCTTCACTGTGGTTATTCTACCTTCAGAGCAAAGCATGACAATTATTACCCTATTCACAGACTGAGCTTATAATTAGTACCATGAGGTAAATCAGAACTGTTTCTAAACCCTGTTTCAGCAGGTAAGCCAGGCATCTGCCTGAACCAGCCGTTTAGTTACAATATCAGTAATGACTGTGGCATGTCAGGTGAGTCCTATTGCGATCTGTTAAAACAAGTGGCAGAGGGCCACATTCTATAACAATTTCCTGATAAATTCAGAGTAAGTATAAATGTTGTTTTCTCCAGTAATAAAGACTTTGCATAAAAAGGATTCAGGACATTTTAAAAAATCCAGCTCCTATTTCTGTGAATTTTTCTTTAGGAAGAAAATAAGTTTGGAAATGGGGAAGGATGGTTCATCAATGTGTGTCTTTCTAGTTTGTTACTGCCATTGCTTTAAATGGAGAAAAATACTTTAAACAGGATGGAGGGACTGGGATGGCAATCCTTCTTTATTTCATCACAGTTCCCGTCACCAATATGTTAGTACTTCTTGGAAGGTTGACGATTGCAAGAATCTAATTTTATTTATTTTACTTAAACTCCACTTTCTTCCCACATAATGTGTGCTGACTCTCAAGGAAAACATGTATTTGTAAACCCAGGGATATTAGACTACATTTGAGAAATCAGAAACTTGATAGAACAAGTAGATTTCATTCAGAAATATTCTAAGAGACACTATTTATCAATATTAAACAGATATCATGATAAGGAAAAATGATGACTAGATATGCCTATTCACATAGTAAACTTAGGTTCAAATACGGTTCCAACTTACCTGGCGTGAGGGTCAAAATGAAAAACGTGCTCACGCTATTCTTGAGGGAAAATATTGTTCCTTGTATAGTTTGAAAAGGTATTTTTGATGTTTGCTCAAAATTTTAATAGCAATGATGGCAGTAAATTTTACATGTCCATGTAAACAACTTATGGTTATTAAAATTTTAATTGCTGTAAAAGTTAAACATGTTTCTAGGTCACACTGGTTTCAGTTTCTTAGTTATGAACTTCTGATTTGGTGACAATAAATTCTGCATAGATTTTATGAGTAATTACAAATAATACTTGTAAACTGTTTCGCTTTGGACTAGTCAAAAATTCAAATAATGAAATAGAAAAAGTGCCAATTCAAATTATTTTTAAATTGTCATTATAGAGGACAGGAACTAGATAAATGAAAATGGTGTTTCAGAGAGCAATAGTCTCAAAAGTAGGATGGAGATGAATGAAGTGTAAAGGACATTACCCATCTGTGTTTATTGCTTTTGTACAAATAATGTCATATCAGTCAGGGGGCAGTGGCTCACACCTGTAACCCTAGCCCTCGGGGAGGCCAAGGCAAGTGGATTGCTTGAGCTCAAGAGTTCAAGACCAGCCTGAGCAGGAGCAAGATCCTGTCTCTGCTAAAAAAAGAAAATTAGCTGGGATTTGTGGTGGGCATCTATGGTCCCAGCTACTCAGGAGGCTGAGACAAAAGCATTGCTTGAGCCCAGGAATTTGAGGTTTCTGTGAGTTATGATGTCACAGTACTCTAGCCTGGGGCAACAGAGTGAGACTCTGTCACCAAAATAAATAAATAAATAAATAAATGTCATATCTTTTGCTTTAATGCTTTTCTTTTCTTCTGTTATATTAATTTTGAGGGCTTTACGATTGCATTTTGACTAATGTTATAACTTTCCAGTAGGGAGAGGTTTGCATATGAAAATGTCCACCATCACGAAAATGGGTAGCTACTTATGACCACAGAACACACAGATAAAATTAGAATTAGGGTGGTTAGTACTTAGTATTTGCCTTTTCTTTCTAGAGATCTTTCATGATGTGTCCTCAGACCACTCTGGGGGAATTACCCTGACTCAAAAGCACAAGGCATTTTGTCCCTGACAAAAACCAGAACTTGCAGTACTATGATTAAATCATTACATCTTAACTAAGGCAAACATAATAGCTAAAAATTGAATGTCTGACATTCATGGTCAGTCATGAAATATCTCACTATGTCAATGTTCAAGCTAAATTAACAGAGCGAGAAAATGTTTTTCAAATTAAAAGCAAAGATATAACAAAATATATCTTTCGGTTTGGATGCAGTCTTCATAAATGTGGAAGCTTCCCTTTATGGAACACAGACAAATCTGGCTTGGAGCAGCAGCACAGAGAACAGAAAATGCACCCACATTAGAGAAAACCAAATAGCAGCGATTCCTGCCCTAACACAGGGTTAGTACAGGTTAGCAGGAGACGCCCTTTCAGCGTGTTGGCCAGACTCTCGGAGCCTCCACACCAGCGTCAGGGCTGAGATGAGGCCAGTGAAGTACCAAGTCCCTCCCTTCCTCTTCCTTCCTCCCGCGGTCTGTGTGCGTATTCGTGTGAGTGTGTGCGGTATAAAGGGAAGAGTGGAAAAGCAGGAATAAGAAACTTTTTCTTAATTTCTTAGATGCAGTTTTGTCAAGTCTGAAGATCCTTGTTTTGGGTCATTCCACAGTAAAACAAAGAAGGGCCACGGGGGCAGCAAAGGCCTCAGAGCTGAGCTAACCACATGGGTGGACACACAACTGAAATACCCTTGAGAGAGGGACCAGGTGCTGATCTTCTATCTCTTATTATCCTGAAGCAGCTCAGTGGTGATGAAATGCCAAGTGCATGGACATGGCTTCCACAGAGGCCCATAGGCTGATTCTAGAGCCTTTCACACATGATAAACTATAGGATTACAAAGCGCCGGAAATAAAATTTCTTTTTCACCTACTCCTGTGTAACTTTAAAATGGAAGACAACAAAATTGTTGATGTATCGTTGCTGCAAGTGCTCAGTCTCTTAGTAGTGTCAGAGCCACGCCTCCAGTTCCCCTGCATGGAAAGGGGAATTTTCATCTTGAAGTCATGATAAGCTCTATAATCCTTTACATTTCTCAATATCCTCTCATTAGGACTTCCAAGCTTTCTGTATACTTTC